AAAAAAAACCATCAAAAACGCTGCTGTGGAAGAGTTCGGGTCTTAGGAGGTTAAAGTCCTTCACATTTAATAAAGCAAACAACATAGAAGAGCTGAGCTTCAGTAAATGAAACATGAATGAAAATGAAACACAAAGAATGTTATGGAACCAGGTATGGCGCGAGGCAGAAACATCCCATTGTGTAGGTTCAGACTTTTTAACTAACAGATGTCAGCGTGTGAGAGTAAACGGCTGTTTTTCCAATCAGCTGAATTCTTCTGGTTCACCACAGGGATGTTGTCTCTCTCCCCTACTGTATATTTTGTACACCAATGACTCTCGGAGTACACAGCCTAACAGGCATTTCATTAAATATGTGGATGACACAGTCATGGTGAAGAATATTCCCATAGGCCTGTTGTGGATGAGTTTGTTTCTTGGTGTGATCGGTCATTCTTAAAGATCAACACCTTGAAAACTGAGGACCTGGTAACTGACTCCAGGAGGACATCCCCCCATCCTGCACCAACAGTAGTAAACAGTGCAGCCATTGAACTGGTGGACAGTTGGAAGCAAGTTTGTTCTTGATCATGCTCTGTCCTTTGAGTCACATCTTGATGCTACAGTGAAAAAGATCCAACAACAGCTGCACGTTTTAAGGAGATTGAAAGTTTTTAATGTTTCATGTGAAATGATGAACCTTTTTTTAAATAAAGGTTTGATTGAATCTGTTTTACTGTTTTGTATCATTGCTTGGTTTGGTGATCAGACTTGGTAACTTGGTTACAATATTTAAGTGCATATTAGAAGCCATTGTCCATTTGGCCCAGCTGGTTCCATTTTCTATTTTTCTTTTATGATTAAAAAGACAAATTAGGAAGATTTTTTTTTTTACATTTCTTTGATGGACATTTGAACCGACAGGCGTCACACGCTGTTTCACCACAGAGTTTAATCCTTCAGTCAATTCAAATCTACCAGCTTGTTTGCAAATCTGCTGCTCCACACACATAAATACAAATAACTTATTTTACTTTTTATTGCTAGTTTTTTAGTCTCTCTTCATGTATTGTGTTGTAATTGCTGTGCACTGGCTTTGTGAAACATGGATTCATAATGTTAAAGGCATGCTAAACAATAAACCATATATGTATGCATGTACATACATACATATAAACACAAGAAATTCTTCTGGTGTCTCCACATTTATAGCTCATCTAATCTGGAAACATATCTGACTCTGAGTCTCACTTTTAGCTCAGTGATGGAGAACATTTGGCTCGTTGTCCTTGCACACAGTGCAAAGTGCTCCATCCTCCCTCCTCACAGTGATTCAAATGCTGCTAACAGTCTGTGAACCAGGAGGAAGAGGAAGTGAGACTCAAAGAGGAGACAGAGGGCGACATCATCCAGTAGGCGGGGCTCTCCTTCTGCACTGTGTTCAACCATTGTGTCAATAATAAGTGCTGCTGTGAAGAGAACAATTCTCAGACTGAATGTTGAACATCAGCTAGTTTCTCCTGTTGATTTAAACCTTGTTGTACAGATGGAACATTGGCTGTGGATTATTCTTGCTGCTCTTTTCTTTGGTGAGATACAAACATCAACATGTTTCCTCTGCTTAAATAAATGTGTGAGTCTGATTAATGGTGAGTTTTTAATCATGTTTATTGATCCATCTCTTCCTCTGCATGTTCTGTTCTTCCTCAGAGTGTAAAGGAGAAGACAAAGTGATCCAGGAACAAGGAGATGCCATTGCTGCTGAAGGAGACACAGTTACACTTTACTGCAAATACGAAACAACTTCTGCATTTCCATATTTGTTCTGGTACAAACAGGACGTGAACGACTATCCGAAATATGTTTTACGGCGAGATGCTTCTGGAACTGAAAACGCTCAAGAGTTCCCGAAGAACAGATTTGATGCTGAACTCAACAAGACATCAGTTTCTCTGAAGATCCAGAAGCTTCAGCTGTCTGACTCTGCTGTGTACTACTGTGCTCTGCAGCCCACAGTGACAGGAAACAGCAAAACTCTGTACAAAAACCTTTGGAGCAAAGACAACAGAATACTCCACAACATCCACTAGAGGGAGCCACACACTGTTAAACCTCTGATTCTTGTGTCATTGGACTGATGACAAAGACAACAGAGAAATGAAGCAGTAAAGATCAGAGACAGAGACAGAGCTGCTGTGGAAGCACAAAACTATTCGAATAAAAAACCCTTTATTTATAACAAAATGTTTCTAACAGCTTTGAACATCTACAGTTTGAGTTTTAAAGGAGACACGAACAAACAGTTAAAAAAAAAAAGAAAAAAGGAAAAATTAAAGGTCTTTTAAAGAAATTAAATTCTTTGTGACACTTTCAACGCTCCAAAATCTGAACCCACATTCACAAATAACCACGAGACGGAAAAACAAGAACAACACACATTTCTATCAGTGAGAGATTGTCTCATACCTGCTGGTTTAAATGACACTCAGACGCACACAGAAACCAAAGTAACGATGAAAAGGTTTGTGTGACTGTTACAGCTGCTGTTCGAAAACTGCAGATGGATGACACCAGGTGAAAAACTACTTCTCCACTTCAATATTTACACCACCATTATAAATTTAAAATGTCAGAAAATGATCCAAAAGCTGCTGGAGAAAATGACTGAAAACGTGTTGAACGTACAAATAACTGGAATCTCTGAGAGGTCGATATAATGCTATTAGAAAAGTTAAAGTCCTTTTCCAGAGTGTCAAAGAAATCTCCCAAAATAAGAAATTACGATAAAAAAAATAAATGAAAGAACAAAATCACAGGATGCGGCCCCGAGGCAGATCCAGAACAATTACACCTCTCACCTGACTTGGGAATACCTGAGTGTTCCCCTGAAGGAGGTCTGAGCTTCTCTGCTCAGGCTACTGTCCCAAACCCAGCAGCAGAAGATGGATGAACTCAGTCCTGCTGGTCAGTCAGACAGGTTCTCAGTGCATCCAACCAACCACAGCAAGAAGACTTTAAACATGGCTTTCTCCAAAAGGAAAAGGAATCTAACATGTAATATATTCTAAAAGACGCGTTATGTTTTCATTAGGGCAGTGGTTCTTAAAAGGTGGTATGCGTACCACTGGTTACACATGTTAAAAACACAACAGCCTTAATAAATGCAGAGTAGTTTGTTCATACGTCATCACTTAAAGGTTGGATATCCCACCTGCTGAGAATGTTTTAATGCAGTACAGTTGTTATTATCACCCGTCACATCCTGTTTATGACAGTTCTAATAAATAACATTCATATAAGAAACTGCATGTGGTGTTTAATAGGTGTATACTACTGTACTCTAATGTTGGTCAAAGGCTGGTAATTTAAGAGCCATATATTTTATGTGGTGGTACTCACTGTGAAAAGAAACCCTGCATTAGAGAAACAAAGCTTCATCGCAGAACGGAAAATAAAAATCAAATGAAGAACACAGTTTTACACGTGACAACATCAAAATAGTTGTTGGTAGATACTTGTTTTCTCCACAAAACTTTCAGCACTGCAGCTTCTGCTGGTTGTGTGTTTTCATGTGAAACAACAAATGATGACTCTGGCGGAACATTTTCCCACAGGTTTTACAGTGATACGGCTTCTCTCCTGTGTGGATCGCGTTGTGGCTTTTTAGTGACGTTGACAGAGTAAATCTTTCCCCGCAGGTCTCACAAACATACGGTTTCTCTCCTGTGTGCGTTCTCATGTGGCGCAGCAGGTTACTGCGTTTAATGAACGTTTTCCCACATAACTGGCAAGAATGAGGCCTCTCTCCTGTGTGGATCACTTTGTGTAATTTAAGTGACGATGATTCGGAAAAACATTTCCCACAGTGATCGCACTGGTGCAGCTTCTCTCCTCTGTGGCTTCGCATGTGGCCCAACAAATGACTACTCTGACTGAAAGTCTTTTCACACATTGTGCAGGAATACGGCCTCTCACCGGTGTGGATTCTCAGGTGGATCATCAGATTCCCGCGTTGCCTAAAAGTTTTGCCACATATGTGGCAGGAAAACAACCTCTCTCCTGTGTGGACAGTCATGTGGCGCAGCAAAGTGCTCTTCTGAGCAAAACTTTTCTCACATGTATTACAGGTGAATGGTTTCTCACCTGTGTGGATTTTGTAATGCTCCTTCATTTGGCACTTTTTCTTAAAAGACTTTCCACAAATGTCACACTGGAGAGATTTTCGACCCGTGTCAGTGTTACACCGACTCGCTGATGGCGGGAATTCTTCAGAATTGTTGCTCTGACTTCTGTTTACATGAAGTTTTGACTCTGGATTTCCAGAGTCTGAATCGCCCTTCTTCCCTCCTTCCTGATCTCGGCTCTCAGCTGCAGCAGAGCCGTGAGTGAGGAGCTGGTCACGGTTTGCTTCTGATTCACTGTGGTCACTTTTGCTGTGAGCAGGAGTCACCGTAGAAGTTTTCGTCTCTGTCACTACGGACTGCTCTCCCTCCTGACTGCTGCAGAGTTTGTTCTGTTCCTCTGTGCGCTGTGGAGGTTCTGGTTCCCCCTGGTCCAATCTGGAGCTCCTGTCCTGGTTCCTGAGCTGCTGCTGAGGGAGAACCCCCTCCTGCTTACAGACATGCTGCTGTGGGAGGTCTGCAGGGACAATAGGAGCCCAGAAAAAGAAAAGCAGTGAAATACATTGTTCCTTTAATCATGTTCGGGGTAATGAACATGCTGTATCATCTTTAGGTGGAAACTAGCGAGCTAACTCCCTGCTAACTTCGAACTCTGTTAAACTTCATAAATTCTGTTTTCGTGGATGCCTGAATGTTAAACTTAACTGTTACAGCTGATAGAGCAGCCACACTGATTATTTTATTAAAGATTAAAGGATTTAGACAGTTTGTAACTCTGTGACGCCGCAGTGATCGTTTGACCCGGAAGCGACTAATGACGTCCGACTTAAAGACCGGATAGGAGGCATCCTTTCTGCAAACAGCTACAGTCTGACTGGAATCACTCTACAAGAGATTGTTGAAGGTCTCAAATAACTGCTGTCTATTTTATCAATGCAGACTAACAGCTAACACGTCTCCACCAGTTTAAATGAGGCTTTGTTGGTGGATTTATTCTGTTTATATTCTGAAAGAACAGGAAGGTTACTGAGTGCAAATGTAATCCGGTCTTTAAGTCTGACGTCACCAACCGTGTCTGCGCTCAAACTGCGCTGCAGGTCCATAAATCAAACGATCACTGAGAGTTACAAACGGTCTAAAGTCTTTAGACCGTTTGTAACTCTCAGTGACGTCATATATACACATCTTACTATATGTATCAGAATCAGAATACTTTATTCATCCCGAGGGAAATTAGGGGTTACAGCAGGCAGCACGCTAATGGCGCATGCGCACTCAACTAAAATGTACTAGAGCTTTTCTATATTTTCATCCTGTGTCGAGCCAACTGTAATGAAACTGTGTGCCTTGTACACTTGCTGTACACTGAATGACAACAAAAGCATGTCTTTAAGCACCAAGCCAACAACATTAACCAAACAACACTCGTAGGTTTGCAGCTGACATGGATCCACTCGTTTTATACATACTTTGAGTCTAATGCTGAAACTCTTTAATTATAACAATACTTCATGGTATTTCTCTCTGAAAAATAACTGCAGCTGCATCATAAATTGTGTAACAGGGCTCTGATTAGGACCAGACCATCAGAGTGAGACTCACCTGTTCTGTGCACATCTGTCTCAGCACTGGTGGTGACGTCCAGCTCTCTGGGCTGATGGTTGATGTCTTTCTCGATCTGGGTAGAATTATTTAAAACTTCGAATGCTTCTCTGGATTCAGTCCCAACAAACACACTGGAGTCTGAGTGAGTGGCGTTACTGAGGTCGCTTTCCTCGTAAGTAGCAGTCACCGTAAAGGTATCCGTCTCCTCCTCCAGTCCCAGCTGCTCTCCCTCCTGACTGCTGCACAGTTCCTCCTGTTGCTCTTTAATCTGTGGAGCTTCTGGTTCCTCCTGCTCCACACTGGAGCTCCTCTCCTGGTCCCAGAGCTGCTGCTCAGGGAGAACCTCCTCCTCTCTGCAGAGGAGTCGCAGTGGGAGGTCTGGAAGTAGAAAAGGACACAAAAAAGAAAGAAATAATATTATAAAAAGGCAAATACTCCGACACACGCACAAGCTTTCAAAGTTACTACACGGAGAAAAGCCAAAACAGAGAATACACGCGTACTGAAAAAAGGCCTCTGAGTCGCTTATAGTGTGTCTATACTGCACAATGTACACATGTGGATGACACGGGTCGGTTATGTAGAAGAAGAAGAGGAATTCTGGAGTAAGTTGGATGAAGCAGTACTGAGTGTCTGCAGGGGGAGAGAGAGTTCAACAAACATGTAAGTGAAGGGAGGAGAGGTGATGAGGAGGCGCTGGGTAGGAGTGCCTTTAAAGAAAGGATAGAAAAGGTTGTGTTGAACTTTAACAAGAGGGAGGAACACAGAGGGATGTATGAGGCTGCAGGAAGGTGCACACAGGTGAACTCCATCTTATACAGAAGGTGAAATCTGAAGGAGACATAGCTGGGGGCATCAGATGGAAGTCTGCAAGATAACTTTGGAAATCAATAAGAGGAAGTGAAAGAAGACAGAGGAAGGGAATAAATGGTGGAAGCTGCTCCGAGTGGCAGGGAAGAGTTCCCAGACGACTGGAAAGCACAGCTGACATGCTGAGGGAAACTCTCAGGAAGGGTTTGTGTATAGTACATATTGTGTATCTGTACAGAGGAGAGAGAAGGAGGAGGTTTGCTGGAAAGAGGGAAAATTTCTCCTGGAGCAAATATTCCGTCATACCAGAAAGTGTTTTGGAAAAGAGAGAGAAAAGGTCATGTGTTCTCCTGTGTGGACGGAGCAGGAAGGAGGCGCTGTTGTTGTCTCAGCTAAATGACTGAGTGTCAGTACATACGATTAAAACTTAAGCACCAATGTCTTTAAAACAAACCCCAAAACACAGCCACTGATGTACAACACAGAACAGAGAAACTCCTTCTGATTGGTCAGCATTTACATCACAGACACAAACTGTGATTGGACACTTTGAGTGCATCCAACAATCCACAGCAGAAACACACTGACTGTGATCCAGGGCAGCACGGTGCTGTGGTGGGTAGCACTGTTGCCTCACAGCAAGACGCTCCTGAGTTTGAATCCACCCCCTGCTCACGGCCCTGTGTGGAGTTAGCATGTTCTCCCCGTGTTTGAGTGGGTTCTCTGGATCCCTCCCAGTCCAAACACGTGCACTTAGTGGGGTTAGGTTAACTGGTGATGCTAAACGGCCTGCCCAGGGTGTACCTCTCCTGTGGTAGCTGAGATACGAATGAAATGAATGAAACTCTCCTGCTTCATAATGACGACACAGTCCGGAGAAAGAGCAACCAGAAGCTTTTCTACAACTTTACACGACAAAGAGTTGAGCTGACAGACCTCAGCAGAAAAGCAGACACGCGGTTAAAACTGGGCTTCTTTGTTTTTTCTCTCATATGCGGATTAAATGCGTAGTTAAACTTTCCAGGGGCAGGAGGACGCTCACCGGTCCGGTGTTCCAGATCTACTGGCGTTTAGATCAACTGGCGTTTAGATCAACTGGCGTTTAGATCTACTGGCGTTTAGATCAACTGGCGTTGGTCGAACAGATGTGTGGCAGTCTTGCGTTTCAGGAGCTGCTACCGACAAACCAGCAAAAAAACG